CCATCCATCAACATTTTACACAACATTATAAATCTCTAAAAATCTGCTTGGTTCCCTGATTTAAATGGATTCAAAGATCCACTCTGCATGCTTTACCTGCTGATGAGGGACGAATGGCTCAATAAGGAAGTTTTTAAGTATGCCTTTAGCTTTTCCCACCTGTAAAACATCAGAATAACAAAATTAACAAACTGACTTAAATTTGTTATAATTATGAATGAACCAAAGCATATTTTTGGACTTTTAGTAATAGATGACTTTCCCCTCCTTGATTTTCAAACTGGAGGGAGACATATTAAAGAAACCAAAATCCAACAATCAGCTCACACAAAATGGCATTCTTAAAAAAAAGGAAGCATGTCATTTAGAGCCACGCCAACAGCTCATTTGGAGGAAGCTGTCATTGTTCCCTCTTAAAGGCCAACAGGCACAAAGAATAACAATCAGAAGAATGAGAGATGAGAAGAAATAGAGAGATCCCATTTCAAAGAATACAAGGATAATGGATTGAGGATTAACGGTGGTGGGAACTAAAAAAGGCTATCAGGTTAAGAACCTCTCATCAGACTCAAAATCTAGATGGATGATTAAGAAAACACTTTTATTTGTGCCTCAGAGTAAAAACAGAAATAAATTTAATGTTTGTTAAATAATCTGTAGGCATGTGTCACAATTTACCAGCATTATTCAAAGCGGCAGTAAATTTAAATATTCATTAAAAGCTTTAAGATCCAGTATTCTTTGTAAAAGGAGAGTAAATATATAATAATTAATGACATTTAAGAAGGTTAAATATTCAGAATAAAGATGGAATAACCCGATATCCTTCTTATAACACAGTGACGTTTATTCTAATTTACTGCCACTAAAGCAGCTGCTGACGGTTTCATCTGATCTTTGAGGACAAACATCTTTACGGTCTCATGGTAACAAAAACACTTTCCTTGATTTATCAGGGAAAGAAATCTATTCCCTAAATAGACTCTCCTTGGTTTATGAGGCAGAGCACCATCTCAGAGCTACACTGATGGACTGGCTGTTGCTTCAGCGACGGAGCCCGCCGCAGATCACTGGACTGATTTAGTACCTGCAGACGTACGTGCAGCTGCACAGACCTATATAAATCTGGCCAAAACCACATATGCTAAATTAAGGAAAAAAAAGCTAGTGTGACACAGGGATAGTGGACAACAAAAAGAAAAATAATAACAATAAAAAAAACAGACTGGTTAGGAATCAAATGGAGGGAGTCGAGTGGTTGTAGCAGTGTGAGAAACAGCAGAGGGGCCAAGGAGGGCTGCGTGACGTACCATCGTTTCCTTCATGAGGCGGGGCTTCAGCCACTCTTTGACCCCATTCAGGTCCAGATTGACGCCAACCAGACCCAGCTTCCCCCTCCTCTTAATCAGCTGGTCCGGCTTCACCACCAGTCTCTGCAGGAAGAAAACAAAACATCTCAGTAGATAGCATGCATTATGATTAAAGCTGAAATACTTAAAATACTCAATTATTCTAAAGTAGTTGTCATTTTGACAGATTAATAACCAAATTAGTTTTTTTTTTGTCTTAATTCTCTAAACTAATTAGGCCCTAAAGTCCAATTCATAATGAAAAAAATAGCAATTAGTAGTATGTTTTATGATGGGATAAAATACAGTTAAACATAAATATATTAACTTTATTAAGTGCCTCGAAGGTTTTGCATACATTTTATAAAATTGCAGCCTTCTATGTCTTCTTTAAACAAAAACATAATCCGGGATAAAAAAATCCAAAATTCTTATTTTTTTTCTCCACCAGCCTTCACTGTCTAGAGTCTCTAATTGTTGTCTGTTTTTTGGGGAAACCAACTTTAAATGGTGTCTAACCTTTTTTCTACGAGTCTTGCCATGTGTTCTTAAATAGGTTTAGATCTGGATGTTTATTGGGCCATTTTTACACAACTCAAACCATTCCTTTGCAGGTCAATCTGTGTGTTTGGATCATCTTCATGCTGGAAGGGCTTCTCCTGCATTGATCTGCATTCATCTTAGCATTGACCAACTCTCCTCTCCCTGGTAAGATATGCATAACCACAGCATTATACTGGCACTACCGTGTTTCAATATTGGGATGCTTTGTTTACAGTGTTTATTTTCAGCCCCACAGTATTTGCCTCCATGCAAAATATTTTTTTCATTTTGCATGGAGGCAAATACACATTGTGGTTTCATTTGACCAGAGCATCTTTTCAGAACTGTAACTGTGGTTCCTACAAAGTATTTCGAAAACATTAATCTATCTTCCATAAAGTTTGGGTTTGATTACTGCTTAGCAAATCCATGCAAACATATTTTGAATAAACCCTTTACTTATCAAGGCTGTCATCAAGATGCCCTTACAGGATACAGACCTAGATGGGATGAACTTCTATTGTTATCCTGAAGAACGCAGCTATTTTGAGGCTGATGAATGCTTTTTTCTGATAAATGCTTTTGGTTGGAACAGAAAGGGTACAGAGTATTGTTTCGATGATATTAATGTTGTGTAGCTCTATTTATATCTTCAGCTTGCTTTAAAATCTCAAAAATTAAATTTCTGAGATGTTCACTGTGTTCTTTGGTCATTATGATGCACTTTTTTAACTAATGTTTTCTTACCAACCTGTGAGCCCTTAACAAGGCAGATAGATTTATGCTGGTATTAAAGGAATAGTACACCCAAAACATGATTAGCCTTCATTTTCTACTCACCCCCATGCTGAACAACACTCTGGAGTACTTTTTTGATATCTCAAATGCATCTGGAGATCTGGGAGATATCAAAAAAGTACTCCAGAGTGTTGTTCAGCATGGGGGTGAGTAGAAAATGAAGGCTAATCATGTTTTGGGTGTACTATTCCTTTAA